TGAAACTAGATGATCATTGTGGTCCTTTTCAACCCAGGCCATTCTATGATTCTGTGATTCCAAGTAAAAATTAACATAGCTGGAGAAATCTTAACAGGCCATGACAACTTTTGCTCTGAATCCAAACAGCCTCTCGTCTTGGTACGCTGAGCACAGTGGTCAAACAAAATGCCATCTGGAGTAAACAGAGTTGTTAATTTCCCAAAGGCTTCACTGATCAATCACTATTAAGCAGTCAAAACCGAAATGGTAATCCATGCAGATAATCAGCTCTTTAATAACTGGCTACAGAAGTGAAACCCCTGATAAAATGCATACAACATATATGCTTACAAAATACAGGATTTGCAAAAGGCTCTGCCCTTATTGCACCATGTAAAAACTAAAGAAAGCTTACTGTAAGAAGTGCGAGCAAAAACATACATGAAGGACCAGGAAGAATGTGAGGGACCGGGTTTGTAATGTGACAGCATCTTCATTCCAGACTCCAGGTCCAGTGGGATATGCTTACTCGATGACTGCTGAAGCAGTAAAACAGTCTAGCTGCTTAATTGTTTACAAGCACTGATACAAGAACTGTTTTTACCACACTTCAACATCAACTGAAACAGCTCATTAAAAAGCTGTAACAGTGCCTGCAGTAAAACTCCTTCTGCCACAGCCTAAGATAGGGCAGCTCAACAGAATATGAACTAAATGATGAAATTAAGGTACAGAAGTTATTCCAACAGGACTGGAATTTTCTTCTGAGCTAAAGTTCCCTTTGAGTAGTTTTACTTTGTTCATTCTTACAGGACTTGTGAGGATAAGAAAGTCTTGTCAAGTGAACCTTAAATGGGAAAGGAAACTGCTGTACCTGTGCAGCCCACCAGCTCCCCTACAGTACTACATCAGGAGATGGCACAGTGTTCCCAGCAGGTAGGATGAGCTGGATGTTTGCTGTTTGTAACAGCTTTCTCAAAGTCAGAGCTTTCTGTAACTGTCAAATAAAACCAAATATGGTCAGCTTGAACCACCTTGTAAAATCAACTGCTTGGACTCTAATAGATACATCTAGGAAATACCTAACCAAACAAACTCATGAACAGAGCACACACACTGTCCCAGAGCTCTGCACTATGAGCTCTACATGGTGCACTTTGTATTCCATGTGCTTCTGCTGTTATCTAGCTCAGATTTCAACCCTCAACTAATTCTAGAGACTATATTCTGTTTTACTTTCATAATAAGTTTATGATGTCTTTTGGGTCCCATGACTCCCTGTAGGTGTTATATCCCACCTAACATACAAAACACATTGTGAGTGTCTTACCTCCTTCTGAATCCCTCATCGACAGAGAAGAAATTAATTCATTTAAGCCCAGATATTTGCTGCAAACTGTGATATCCAAGAGATATCACACCTGTGATCACATTGTCAAGACATGTTCTTGTTCTCTATGCTGCATAACAAACAGGACATGTTACAGCTGGTATTTTTGAAGCCTACTTTTCCTTAGCTAATCTGATGCCTCTCAAGTTGGCATAAACAAATACTGAATGAATCAGTGTCCACGTCATAAAGTTTTGGTCAGAAACAACAGAAACCATAATAAGCAGATGGACAATGCAGACACACACATACAGATCGTATGAAGACGGCATGATTTTGAGCCAGCTGCAGTATTTGAGGAGGACAGCTGATCTGCCAAGCAGGGGCAGCAGTAGACACAGCTAATTAACCTGATCAGAAGTCACAGCTTGCTGAATTATCTACTCCTTCATGGCTCTATATTAATTTCTGTGCTAACCACAGCAACAAAACCACAGTCACGAAATACCACCAAAAGATGTAGCTCAGATACTTTTTTTCTTGCTATGTCACTGGAAATACACTTGCTGGTCATCAATTCTGTAGATCTGATTTTTCAGTCTGGAAACTGGTAGTGTAAAGCTCCATTTCTGTCCTGGATTTTTGAAAGAGCTCTGTAAGAGAGAAAAATCTTCTACAGAGGACACAGCAAATAATGTGATCTTTGTTTCAAAACCTGCTTTTCATGCTGCAGCATTAGGCAAACTGTTTCATCCACTGCTGATTGATCATGTGAGACACAATTGTCTTTGGAAAACTAAAGAGGTAAAATGCAAAATGCCTCAGGCAGAAATAGAAACAAGGACTCCTATTTCTTGAGAAGCAAATGAATTGTTACAGTGCGTAACTACCACCATATTTAACTCCAGGCGAGGAGAGGGTAGAAGAAAAAAATCAAGCAAATATTCTAAAAGTAACAAGCAGATTAAAGGAAGAACCTTCCTGCTTCCATCCCCCATTTTGTTACAGACAATCAGGTACAGAATCCACATAATTAATCATTCTCTAATTAGTCTCTTTTTTTTTTTTTCCAATGGAAAAGCAGCACCACGTTGTTTAAAATTCCTGCCATACTGTTGTGCTGATTTACAGACTTTTTTTTTGGTGGAAAATCTCATTGTTTCTGGACATTGTTTCTGGAAACCAATCAAAACCCTCTATTAAAGAAAGACTGTCACAAAGCCCTACGGTATAATTACTAGCATGTGGACTTCAAGGGAGTGAAAGACTTCTGAGCTGCAGACAAAGATATAGCTGCCATCAGAATATCAGCATTTTAGATGTCACTTCTCTTGTCTTCCATTCTGTCTGGATAAAACTTCTGGGACAAGAACAACAATCTGTGCATGCAGCATCTAGCATGATGAGAGAGTGACCTCCTCAACCTGCCAGGAATGCTCTAATGAGGAGAATTTAGTAATGAAAGCAAGAGACAAAGACTGCCATAATTTGCTAACGTATCCAAAAGGATCAGAATTGAAGCTGCGTTATGCAACTCACAACTCTTGCAGAATAGACTTCTAATCTTTCTGTATCTTACTACCATTATTTTGTCTGGTGTTAATTCTGTGCACAACATATTCTTCACTGAAGTGTTGGGGGAGAGATGTAAAATCACATATTTGATAGAGAAAAGGCTTTGAAGTATCATTACATCTAGAATGGGCAATAGAGACAGTGTGGCCTGTGGAAATCATAGGCTGGAGTTAATAACAGGAGGGGACAGCACAGAGGGCTGTGTAAGAGGTATTGTCCACCTGCTCCTGTTTTCCCTTGCAATCCATTCCAGATAAGTTCATATTGGTACTTTAAACAGTGCCAGAAGATATACCTGGAACATGAGAGTCAGCACTGCTAAATTGTTAGAAAAACCCCCAGCACAGTTTTGGTCTGGGTTAGATAAGCCCTCTTCCAAAAAGCTTCCAGGCATAGCTTGTGGACTGGCAAAAGACAGGGACCACTGCAGCTGCAAGTAGTCTCTTTGTTCTAGAACTGATGAGTCCAAAGCATGGATGCAGCCTGATGGTGCTGCTTGCCCTAGGGCTGGGGAACAGGCTCATTAGTACATCTAAGTCCTACACTTGTATACTCACAAGAAGCTCCCTGGGGTTAACAGCCTACTGATTAGGTCACTCACCCAAGAAAAGAGACAGTTGTTTTTACAATCTGAACAGAATCACAGAATCACAGAATGGCCAGGGTTGGAAGGGACCACAAGGATCATGAATCTCCAAACCCCCTGCCACATGCAGGGCCACCAACCTCCTCATTTAATGCTAGACCAGGCTGCCCAGGGCCCCATCCAATCTGGCCTCGAACACCTCCAGGGACGGGGCATCCACAACCTCTCTGGGCAGCCTGTTCCAGCACCTCACCACTCTCTGTGAAGAATTTCCCCCTGACGTCCAAGAGAGCTGGTTACATTTTTTCCCTATCCTGAAGAAGTTTGAACTTTTTTCCCTGTCTTCTCTAAACAGTTCCCTTGTCACCAGCCTATGGCATAGTTGGGAGAATAGTTTCTATGTCTCTGGGTGAAGATGGCTGTCAAAAACACAAGTACCCTGGGGCAAAATGTTTGAAATCTGCTGACTCTTGAACCTAGCAAAAAGGTCTGTCACTATACTAAGACAGACCAGGAATCTAGGTCACTACTCTGCTTTATTTCACACAACCCATACACGTAACTAAGAGTGGGGCAAGAATTAATGTTTCCTATCTGGCAATAGCCTTTGTATTCTGTTGGCCAAGCTTACTTGGTAGCTCTTCCACTGTTGATAGGTAACATTATTATGCATCACAGGAAAAATGTTAGGAACAAAATAAATGCTTGAAAACCATTACAGAAAGCGTTCTTGGGCAGCAAAGAAAATCCATCAAAATGGAAGAAAAAAAATGAGTATAGTTATATATTTTTTTTACTGAAAGCTACTGCAGCCAGAACAAGATTATTTCCCCATAGTCAGATCCCAGCAAGCCACAGGGATCTGCCCTGGAGTGGTCAGGAAACTTCACAGTCACTTCTTGCAATCTCCTCTACCACTGGTCCACAACCCAAACAATCCTCTGCCCAAGGATCTAGATTTAAACCCTCTAGTTTTTCAAAGCTCTTCTACCTGTGGTTCTGCTCTCATACCCTTAGTACAATGAAAAAGTATTTCACGCAGCTGGAGGTGGTGTTCCATATGACTTCTGTTTAGTCTTAAGGTCTCAGTGTTGCCCTCTGAATTCAGTGCCTGCCAGTGGCCTGCTGAATGAAGAACATACAAACTCTGCTTTAAGGATGTTTCTTGCCAAACCTTAACCTAACAAACCTGTTTGGGAAGCTATATAGACTGAACAGTGGTCGCTGTTAGGATGCAGTTTCACAAACACCTTCAACCTCTAACAATTTCATGCTCCAGAAAGAGTGCTTGCATCACTTCACTTGCAGCTATACATACAGATTAGCCTGTAAATACAGACAATGTGTATCTTTTAAGAGCATGGACTGTATAAGGCAGCTTCAGCACAAAAGTAAGAGCTGGATGGTCCCTAGATAACACTATTTCTCAGCACTAGAAAAAAAAAAATCTTATGCTGACAGCTGCTTCCTTCCATCTCAACTCCCTATTCATTATCAAAGGTGAAGCAAATTAAATCTCTCCTAAAAGGCTGCTCAGACAACTCTGATAATTATTTCAGGTTAAGATGTATGGTAATTTATGTAATTCCGTGGGCCACCGAGCTTCTGCAACATTCAGGCAATCAATTTTAGCACTGGTTTTTCACAAAAACTTGATCCATCAAACCAGGCAGGCATGATTTAGATTAATGAGGCAGAAGAGGTCAGCTGCAGTCCTGTTGCATGAAAACTTATTTTGCACATCTGTGGCTGCTAGGTAGAGAGAGATGCGGAAACAAGATGGCATGATAAACCATCATGTATGAGTTTGCAGGATACTGGTTTCTGTAGCAGGAACTTTGAGAACGCTAATAAAAGGCTGAATGCATCCAGAAGGAATCATTATATGGTGTGATGCAACCCAGGAAATGAGAGGAGAAGGATAATCCTAAATCCCTTTCCAAGGGTAGCTTTTCTAACACTTGAGAAAGGATTGGTCAGTTAACCTTCCAACTTACTGCAGTGGGCCACACTGCACCTTGGATGAGTTGAAAGCAATGGAACCCTGGACTTGTTGGAGGTGTTTGGCTTCCTCCGTATTCCTATGGAGAAGAGATCAGCCAAAAAGATTTGATTACCTATTACTCTCTTTTGCAAAGTGTATCCTATGAAGGATGTGCCTTTCTTCTGTGAAGGCAATACATTGGTATTTGACCTTGCTGGTTCCTACCACAGCAATTTATCTCTTTTCCACGAGTTCTGCAGAGATATGTAAGTACAAGTACCTCACTGAAGTATTACAGCAGACCTAAGGGTAGGAAGGAGTGCCTTCCTCTATGATGAGTGAGGTAGCTCACCTTGTTTCTCCATCACCATCACACGATGTTTGTTGGTAGGCAGAGAAATTAAGAACCAGTCAATGCTGGTCAGTGGACTGGAAGAGGGAAGATATTTGTTTGAAAAAATGTGTGTGTTTTGCCATAAAAAAACACAAACCGTTCATTGCACTTGCAGAGAATTTGGTCTTTCTCAAACTTCAACACTCCTTAAAGTGCATAATTCTACTTAAAATAGTAATTCTTTTATTTGAGCATGCATCCAGAGATAGCACAGTCTTTGATCTGCAATAAGAGCATTTATCATATTCTCTTCTCCCTTATGTTGTGACATGCAGAGCCCACACACATTTTGCAGGCTCATTTGTCTCTATAACAGTCGCTTCCTCAGAAGTTTCAAGTCACTGCTGGGGGAGATTCACTCTTGTACAGGCAATACTGTGGTGCAACTGCTCCTACAACTGCTCAAGTATTACAAAGATCACAAAGGACTAGATTGCTTCTGTGTTCCCCTCCGAACATCAGCTTTTTCCCATCTCCGCTTTGCAAGGAGAAGGTTCTGCCCTTTTCTGCTTTATACAGTGCTCTCCTATTTCTGCCTGTCATTTACTGGAAAGTACATTTTCCAGTAAGGCAAACACTTCTCAGAGCTATCACATGTATACGAGTAGACTATGTGGTACATGCAGATGTGCCACACCTGCAAGTAAGTCAAGAGCTACCACATCTGCTTTATTTAGCTAATTCATCTGTGCACAGCGAACATGTCTAAGGTTTCTGAACCTACCACAGACTCTAGGATGTACAGATAACACTGTGAGCTAGGTTTATCAGGGCAATTTCAGAGACTATTAGGCACCTAAATAGGTCAAGTTTGCTTGCACCTCTGGCATAGTGAGGAGTTGCCTCTAAACTCCTGTAGTAACTTTCCCATTGAACAGCAGGCATGATTTTCTGCTTCATTACGTGTATTCACTTCCAGTTAGATCTTGATGACTTGCCAACTACCAAAAGCATTGGGACAAATCATGAACAAATGAAAACAACTAGAATTTATAAGAAATAGAATCTTTTCTCATGCTTTTCTGTTATCATCTGAATGTGCTGCTAACACTGATGACCCTGAACCAATTTAAAAGCATAGTCTATTAGTCTTGGAGTAGACTTCAGAGACCTTCCTTCACCACAAAGGAAGGGAAAACATACAGTGCAAAGGACATTAACACTCAGCTGGAGAAACTCTTTCCACTAGGAACTAATGAATACAATGATTGCATTAAAACAGACACTTCTAGTCATAGAAGCTATCTGAATGCATGCTGAGATGGCCAGCAGAAGAGAAAGCACACATGAAAACACTGCAAGCACAGAATGCTTGCTTCTAGTATATCACAGTACTGAATTAGGTCATGTCCTTTCCTATCAGCTTTCATAAACATCAGGTGGGCTGCCAGGATATAATGTGAGATGGCACCTAACCCAATTTAACCTCTGTTTAAATTAAGCCAGTTATTAGTGCTGAGATAGTTAGCACTTTTGCATGGGTAAAAAGCAATACTTGCAAAATTATCTGCTTCAGGAGAGGAAACCACACACTGCTTTTCTCCCTTGGGTTTAGTACCTACTATTGAAATCATACATCCTAACAGAAGTTTGCTGGGAAGAACTGCTGCTTGAAATAGGTTGGTCTCATCATTCAGATGCTGGCCTGAAATCCAGATAGTGTGAATTTGACTCTCTACTACAGCACAGATTCCCTGGTGATGCCAGTCTTTCAGAGCACTGGTATCCCACTTGTTATCTTGAGAATTATCAGTGCAGGCAAACTAGCCTTATGAGAGTCGCATCAAAACATGCAACATTGATGCTATGTTCCTGTGCTACATTTACAAGGGAGCAGGCAAGTGTAAGAGCCCCCCTAAAGCAGAATTCCTGTTTTTTTTCTGGGTGTTAATCTCGACTCAGTTTTTTGCTTTTTGTACTGGAAATTATTTTTAACCCCTGTGTACTGCTCAGAGAAAGCAGAAGTGTAATGTTAGAAAACATACCTTAGCAGTTCCTCAGTGTCCTCCTCAGGACCTGTGTTTGGAATGTGCTCCCTTTTCTCACAGGCAGCTGGCAACAGCAGTGAGTCGCCCAATCTCACCACTCCACCAAGGTCTGGATCTTCAAATAATTTCACATCTGGAAAGGGGAACCAGTAAAAGGTGTAGTTAAATTGTAATACACAGAACAATAATCACAGTAATGCTAACTAGGGAATCTGAATAAAGGGATGAAAAAAAAGATCATGCAGACGTATTGTATTCCTTTGATACAATGATTTCCAATCCACAAAGTACCAGGAAACACATCAGTAATATGTTATGTTCTCAGGAACATAAATCTGCTTTTCTTCTTGCAAATAAGTCACTGTCATAACATCCAGCTTCCAAAAATCTGTATTACCCAAACCCAAAATGTAAACAGTGAACAGCTAGGGGAACTATAATAATAGTTCCAAAATATAGTCCAAACTATGTTTATCCTGTTTAAATGATTCTAGATGATTCTGTCCTAGCTTTGACTTAACATTTTAACATAAAATTTGCCTTAACATTTCCAAGATATAATCTAACCTGTATACTCTGCATCACTATATTTTAAAAGTCCAATCATACATATGCTTTAGACAAAACAAACTCTCTATATACAAATATAGCAAAAGATTACTTTCTTTCATCTTCTTCCTGTGACCAAGTGATGAGAAATCTTTCTCTGGGCCAAACAATCCCTCATTTGGGTCTACTTCCTCTTCAAAAATGATTAATTTGTGCTTCTCTTCCTTGGCTGGAGGAGCAGATGCCTTCTTTGCTTTTTTAGTTCTAAAAACATAAGAGACAAGAAGATCAACTGCAATTTTTCATTTAACAAGAAAGATTTATGGCTAAGAAAGTCCCATATGCTGAAAATAGATGGGAGGCTGGGAAAGTATTAGAGGAAGGTACATATACACGTCTGTTAGTCACTGGCAGAAACAAGATGTGGAGCTGGGTAGTCAGTTAGCATGACATACTCTAACTTACTCACACTTTGTATTCTTAGGTACTACCAAGGAACTCAATGGGAAGTAGAAGATTAGGGCTAAAAATGCCATACTGCAAAAACTATAACTTGATCACATTTGTTTTAAACAGTTTTACTTCTCTTATAGAGAAAGCTTAAAATAAGGAAGACCAGCAGCTTCAGCTGCTTGAGGGGATAGCTTGAAAACAAAGTAGGACACTGCACTGATCCCTTTCACCCTGCTTCCAGTCACTGACTCTGTGTTTGATGTCTACATAATACTTTTCATCACCGTGTCAGCCATTTTATGAGAACACCCTCCTCCTCAAAAAAGAGTCTACATCACCTTTAGGTTGAAGAAAATGGGGACTGGAAGACAGTTTTTTGGATGGACTGCAACTTGCAGAATTTACAAAGGTCGGTCAGTACTTTCTCAAACCAAGGGTAGGATTAACTACCTCTAAATTCAGCCTTCTAAAGTTGGACAGTGAGACAAAGTTGATTTTTAGGCTTCTTCCCTACTCAATGGAAAGAGACAGAACATTCCCAGAGGACAACTAATCCCATCATCTTTCAACACTGATATTTGGATACAGAAGATCTCCCCTTCCCTTCCCATTGGACACTGAAGGAGGCTGAAAACTGCTTTGGATTAGAGGTATCATTTGAACATTGCTTAAACAAGGACAGGACCAAAAAACATGTGTCTAATGCTCTCATATATAGGAATTACATTCCACTAGCCACTGCAAGGCAGCTTTCAAGTAGGGCAGCTAGAAAAAAATTTCAGAACAAAAACCTTTGGATGAAAAGTCCAATCCAAACTAAGCTGAAATAGAATTCCTTAGGACAGCACGTCCTTCCCAAGAATTTGCTGTATTTTAGAGATCTTGATTCCTAGCATAAATGGCCTTAGCACTTCTAAGGTAGCCCCTTAGAGAGCCTCTTACAACAGAAGATCCGATCTTTGCTGAGAGTGGGTCAGGTTTCAGCCTAGAGCAAACCCAATTATCAGCACTTAACATGCCAGAGTCATCAAAACTGCAAACTAAGGTCAAAAGATTACACATACATTCCAACTACATAAAAGAACCTTGTAAAATTCTTGTCTGAATACAGCTACATGCAGAGTGGAGTCCAGTTACTTTCAGTTATTTCCACAAGTTTATTATCAACAAAACAGAACTTAATGGATGATGTTACCTTGCTACCATCACTTTGTCTCCTGGCAACAGGAAAGGCCACACTTCAGAGGCCTAACAACAAGTCTCCTGCAGAACTGAAATACAGACTTATTTGGAAATACAGCAACAATATACCAAAGGTATCTGCAGTTGACGGTGATAGTGTGCTGATCTATTTAAAGTACAACCCCCTTCCTTTTTTAAACACTTCCATGGCTTTGCTTTTTTCTATGTATATTCTTTATGGATATTCCTTGAGTCACTTCTGAGCTTTTGGAAAGTCGAATCCAAGCACTTGTCTCAAACCAAAGCATTTGTGAAAGAGCCTTCTTCCAAAAACTTACATGAACTAAAGTAGTATTAACTACAAGCCAAACAGCTTTCAGTACAGATTTCCACACAAAATTATTGCTTTATTAACTGTGACAAGAAATCTATCACTCAAATGAACTTAAACATCAAAGGAAAAGGTAAAAAATGAGAGTAGTTATATAGAAGACAAGAAGAACAATAAAAATGAGTTGTAGAGACCTGGCCAATTGATTAAAAGTAGAATTAGTAGACACAAAACAATTCAATCTACTGGGGACAGAACAATCTTTGCAAGTTTTGTGCTTTGCATTGCATTTTTTGAAGTGACTGATAACATAGATAAAGATTTGCCAACCTGTGGAGTACCAAAAAGCCTTTGGCAAGACACCTTGTTTGTGCAAGTGTGATTGCAGCTCTCCTGATGCCAAAGGTACTTACACATGAGCTAACACATGCCCAAGCAACAGCTCTGCACCCCACTGAAGTTAGCAAGGAGTATATCAACAGTTAGCTGACGTACTTGCAGCAGAAAGTATCAGCATGGTGGGAAACATCAAGGGAAGGGTGGAGAACCATCAAACAACACCATAAGGAATAAGACGTAAAACAAAATGAATAGGACTCAAAGGCCTTAGTAATAACCCTCTGTTGAATCTAGCCATCAGACCAGCCTACAGACACTGTCTTGCTTTCTGTTTTGCCAAGAGACACCACTGACAGCTACAGGGCATGAGGCCAAACCCACAGGGCCCAACTGCTACCAGCAGGAACATGAAGAAGTTGTTTTTCTGCCTCCAAGTCATTTCCCCTCAGTGCCCTTCTAAGGAAGCCACAGCTGGGCTGCCAAGTCATTCCAGCATATCCATACAGGGACTCCGTGGAGGTCAGTCTCAAACTGGGAAACAAGATTCCCACGGTTCTGTATTTAGCAGTGCCCATCCAGGCTGGATGCTGGGAGCAGAGGTTAACAGACAAGAAAGGGTGTGTGAGAAGCCTGGAAATCTGTCTGGGGCTCTGCCTTCACAATCAGCTTAGCTGGCCTGAGCGTGTGTTGCAAGTCCTGGCTCTGCCTGCCCATGCACTGGTGATGAGCCTACATGCTGGTGGGCATGCTGCAAGGATGGCCACCTCAATGCTCATGATACTCCCAACCTTAGACATTCTGAAGCTACCTGCATCCAGCTGGAATAAAACGATCCATATCATCGCTATTTCTGTGCTGCTGGAACAAGTGAACAATGGAAAGATCACTGTGGTTAACTTTAAGAATCTTAATGAAAACCAAACCAGTCATAAACCTCCACTGAATTGAAAAGATTTCTGGAACTATGCTTATTTCCCCAACTGGATGCACTATTTTCTATACATGAAGCACCACAAGAGTGCCTCTAGTAACACTGCAGTCTTCTGCCTTGAGCCAGAATTGTCTCACAAATAAATGTAAGTAAAGATTAGCCTCTGAACTGATGTGGACAAAAACTGGATGACCAAAAATAAGGGAATGTGAATGCTCCTAGCCAGGTTATTGGTACATTTGAAAATCCAGCTGAGATTCCCAGCCCCCACCTGATTGTCATCTGTGAAAATGTCAGCAGAGCTCTGGATGCAGGAGATACTTTCAAAAGTAGCCCATTTATTCAGAGCAGTTCTCCTGTTATTGTTTACAGACACAATGTAGGTCACTTGTTTGGCAGCCTCTCTGTCTCACTGGCACATCAATAATGCAGAAAAGCTTTCTGGTCAGCTGCAGAGAACAGCAGTGAGGATGACTAAGACACTCTATGTGCAATTGATGTGTTTTGAAATGCTGGATCTCCACGCCTAACTCTTGGTGACACATATCTTAAATCACAGAGCTGGGCTCTGCAACTCTGCTGTGGTTGGCACAGAAGTCCCTAACCTATTCTCACTACTGAGTTAAAATATATGCAATACTGATACTACTGTGTCACTTACCCTTCTGTGCATTCAGAGTAAGTGCAATCTCAGTACACAGACAGACAAAAATGCTCAGAACTTACTGTCCTGAAAATACGACTCTTTCTTTTTACAGGAATAAGATTATGCTCCAGGAAAGGAATGTTACGCATTAAAAAAAAAAAAAAGATTTACTCAAAATACACATACCCACATTTTAGGAATCCATGCGATTTTACAAGGAAAGAGCTCAGTGATATAAATGCACCCCAGCTCCCACACATCCACGTTCAGGCTTGAACAAAAGATCTCCTGCTAAAGCAGCAGCAATATTAGCACATCTTCTTGAAAATCATTTCTGGGAAAACAAAGATCCTCTACACTAGCACACCCAGAAAACAAAATGTCATCTGTTGGTTTCTTTGCATTCAGCAGTGCTCATTTTCCATAGCTGCCCATAATAACAGAGAGGACAAAAGGGGTCATTCTCATCTGCTTTGGGCAAGGGATGCAGCACAGAAACTCGAAGGCAGCTAGCTCAGCACAGCCTGGTATGAAGCATTAAGCAACCGTGGCAAGTGCTGGCCGCAGGGATATTTCACCTCACACAGTAATCTTTCTCTTGTAGGCATCGTAGTGACTTACAGTGCTTTAAATGGCCCTGGCACGTCCCAAAATAAGATAGCGTTTAATAGATGGAGTAAATCTCCTATTAGCAACCATGTGGAAGAAGAACATGAAATTGCAGGAGAAGTTTCTCCATTAGGTGAGCACTGGGCTATTGTTCCAACAGAGCATCAGACAGAAAGAAAGCATGAAGGACTGCTTCTTCAGCTCCATCCACGGACCTGCTTTTGGGAAGAGAATTTTGAGCTCTGCACCCAGGGGAACCTATTCTTCAAATAAAAGAAGCCACACAGTCTCTACAATCTGTCCTTACACTTTCTGGTGACACCCTTTTTCAATTTTCAAAAATGGGCAACAAGATCACAGATTGACAACTTTTGTTGTTGTCAACGTTTTATGGACAACAAAAAACAAGTTTCACATATAACTATGACCAAATTAAACTACAGCAAGGTCACTGGTTCAGAACAAGACAACCATAATAATGTGGCTGCCAACAGCACCAATAATGCTGTGAAAAATCCAGAAATACAAGAGTTCGAGATTTTATCTATAAAGCAGCAGAATGGTTCCTTTAGGGTTCCTGATGACAGTGAAGGAGTTCTTATTCTAACATCTATGTTAATGCTGCATGTTTTCAAATATGCAATACCAGGTAACATGCACATGCACAGGTAACATTTTTTGGGAAAAAATAAAAAGGCCAAAAAGAGTTTTTCTGCACCCTCGATATATCTTCTCAGCACATTTTAGACTTCAAGGAGGTTACAGAGGGCTCA